TGAAGCGTAACCGATATAAATCAAGCAGGTAGATCTAAAACTGTCAGAAATACATACGAAAGCAATTCGAATGAACTTTACTTTCAATTCAAGCGGCAAAAATTGAAATTGTTCGTTAAACTTACCATCCCCATGCCACCATTTATTCCAACAATTCAAACACTACAACTAGTGTTCGAATTCCCCTCGTCGATTCCACCGCAAGAAATAACCTGTGCCACCCAAGCTTCGACTCGAAAGTGAAGTACGAATCAAGTAACATAACTGCTTCATCTTCGCGGCAATATCACGCTGGTATTTTGATTTTCCGATCGACAAGAACGGTGATCAGGAATCGATCGGTTTGTTTACCTCATAAACGTGACCGCTGACCAGCCGCGAAGTGAAAACAGCATAGCGCGGGGTGGGGTGGGTGGCGGGCTTATCGTCATAAGATATTCTAACAGTGAAGGCATGCTTCGTGGTACAGGCAACTTTTATTTTATTCTCATAACTTTCTCCTTTAAATTAGAACTGGTATTAATTAATAGAGTTATCAATATATTTTAAACCGGGGTACCCATATAACATTTTTGCTTGTCATCAGTGGTATAAAATAAGGTGTCTTTTTCCACCAAAACCTTTTATTTATGCCCCATTGCACGGAATGAACACTATACTTAGAATATTTGCTCTAAATAATTTTTTCTGTTCCCAAGAATGTATGCAAAGTGATAGAGATTTGATTCATTCCGCTGACACGTTCTTTTAAGTTATGGCGCGTGCAGGTTTTTTTCTATCAAAAGTCGCGCATGCAACACACCGGAATTGAAAATTCGTCGTAAAATCGCACGAACCTTAGAATGAGTGTAGGCAACTTTGACTTCTGGCGAGATTAAGTGGATTGTTCAAAGGACCCCCTGAGATTTTTTTCAGGACTATAACTGAGATTTGTTAATAACTATGATAATCGTCATCATTAGCGGACGGTGCTTTTTGCCCATTGTTGTCATCATTATTGTTATCACGCCGTAAGAAGTATAAAGCCGGCATTTCGCCTTACCTAGCTACACAGAAAATTGTTCTCTCTTTTGCTCCCCTTGGATCCTGGAAACTGTTACTATTAAGACGATCAACAAGAAAGCCTTTATAATTATTGAAACTTTTGATTAACAGAATGTAGGAAAAAATCGGTGGGGAGAGTTTTTCTCGTATCTTATAATCTGAACGATAGTTTTAAAATAAAACAAATAACACTAAATTCAATTTACCTTAGTTGTCTCGTGTTTAAAAGTGGCGTTTCTGGGGACCGTAGATTCTTTTCTGATTCTTCTTGTCTCAGCCAAGACTCACTATCATCAAAATCAAAATACCAGCGTGATATTGCCGCAAAGATGAAGCAGTTATGTTATTTGATTCATACTTCACATACGAGTCGAAGCTTGGGTGGCACAGGTTATTTCTTGCGGTGGAGACACTCTCTTAATCGCGAGAAGTACGCAGAAATGCGGAGATGTCTTTCACTAACACAGTTTAAATATAAAAATATTGAAAAATTGATTAGTTTTAAACTCCTTTTTCTTCGATTTTTAATGATGCCGAAAAAACAAGCATTTCATTGTTCTTTTCAAACTTATGTAACAGGGAATTCCCCCTAAAGACGTGCAGGTGTTCTCTCTTTATTCATATTTCAACAATACAGGACAGCTTTTTTCCCACTAAATTTTAACATTTTCATTCAATGAATCGTACGTCCCTTTTTGTTTAAGTTAAAGAAATTGTTTACATTTGATGACTCGTGTCCAGAAAACAATTTATAACATAATGATGATACGAAAATAAAGTATAACTGAATTAAATGCAAGTGTAGAGGTTCGATGTGTATAAAATTAATAGTTTAGTTGAGCTGATAATTACTTATTTGTTGCATAATAACTACGTGCCTGTAAGGAACAAAAGCGTGTTATTCCTTATTCTTATTCTACCTTTCAGGACCTTACAGAGTCTTTTTTTTTATCTTAACGGCGGATGGCAGAAAAGTGAAACATGTTTCTATTTACCAAAAGTAACATTCGAGACACTCATACTGCTACGAAAAGTTCCGATATTTGCAAATAAATTCTAAACCGTTTCAAGCCCGAAAAAAAGCAGACATATATTCTGATGGACCAGACAGGAGTATGAAATGAATTATTGATAAAAGTTTTTCTATTGGCTGCTGTGACTGCAATTAAAATTATGAGACAACAAATGTTAACGACAGCATCCTTTTTGAAATGTTTTTAATTTCTTACAGGAAAGGTGTTGCATCTTTACAGGTAAGCCAGTTTTCTTCAACATTAGTTAACACTCCAAGAATGAAAAACTATACTTAACTAATTAGAATATACAACCTATTCCTTTTGAGAAAACAAAAAAGAAAGAAATTATCCGAACGAATTCGATGCGGTAATTCACCCATCTGTGGCGGTGAAAATATCGCTTTCCAAAAATCTCACAGTTACAAAACATGGCCAAAATTTATCACATAGAACATTAAAAAACTACGATAAATCCATAGGGACATTTTTTTAAATAAAGGAGCTTCAAGCATGCTCCCTAAAAAATATTACTTTTGGAAGACCTGTGTATTTGTTTTCAAATGATGGTCGAATTCCTATTTACTCAAAGGTTTTGAGGTTTTGCCGCGCCTTCGAAGAGATCAAATTTAAGAAAAAAAATTGTGCTAAATTTCATGCGAGAAATTGCTCTATTATGTTTGTGCAGAGGGCTGGAGTAGTCTTTAAGACTAGCACCTACATTAAAAAAAAAAGCAATTGATAGCGTTCATATAAGTTTGGGCAAGAACAGAATCATGAGATTCACACAACTTTTCGCTCAATTGTTGATCACTAAGTTCAGTTAAAATATATTTTTTGGGAATATATAGTTCAAATTGCTTGACCGATCGTACTTCTTTTGTGTCTTGAGAAGTGGAATCTTCAGGACTTAATTATCTTCAAGCCGCACAGATGTTCTCAGTCGGTTGTAATTTTCGTCCACGGAGTGTCTTTCCTATAATGGAGGCCTCATGACGAGGTTCGGGTCATTTCCATTCTCTAAACTGGTTAAAAACAAATGTCCTTAGGGAATCAATATTTAAAATTCGCAATTTTTGGTCATGGAACCATAGGGACTTTTCTTAAGTGTGTCAACACATCAGTCTGAAATGTTTGAGGGCACTCGTTCTTGAGCAGAGCTGCAATGTTTGACCTGTGATAGCAGGCTTGAAAGTTTCTGAGGGCTGATAATCAAGTCTCCCTGACTTTGGTGAGTGCGGGAGCTCTAAGGAATTATAGTGTGTTTATCATACGTTATTCCTTTTCAGGGTAATTAGATTTCTCTGTTTTTATTACGATGAGAAAAAAATGTTTCTACGCTAATACAACAGTAAAATCGAGCGTGCTCTCTCCGTGTATTTTCACATTAAAAAAAAAAAATCCATGCCTCTGAGCTCAAACATATTAAGCCAAATATTTTATCGAGGACTTCAAAGGAGCGAACGCTCATCTTTTACCAACACACCCAACGACAAGACAATTTTTCACCTCTAAAGAACAAATTAGAGAGTCGTGTAAACGTTAAACTGATAAATGAATGAGACTACATCCAAGAGGGAAAGAAAACATATTTTGCGTTCATGAATAAGATTCCAACCTTATTATATTTGCTTTCTCGAATGGAACCGTATGGAAAAAAAGACTAAAACTGTAAAAACAAATTATTGACAAGGCAATTTTTTACCTCCAAAGAACAACTTAGATATTCTTGTAAATGGTACAGAAATCATGTAAAGAGTTAAAAATAAAATCGACACCAAAGGTTTGCCGCCGTTCAATTGGCCTTTTTCAGTTATAAAGTCTCATTTCAATCGATGGATTCACAATGTATAAGTTCGACTTCACATCTTCTCGCATAAACTGACATGGACAAGGAATCTAATCATTTTGTTAAAACTGAATCTTTAGCGCCATAGTTGTGCGTCATTGTTTTGTAGAGCTGACGGAAAATGGCAAGCACAGTGATATTAAGATAAGGAAAAAACGGAGTCTTGTTCAACCCTTTTTCCTTTTAATTTGCCATAACATTCTCTCCCATAAATCGAACGGTCACGATATGTTTTGTATAGCCAAAATTTCGCAATTCAAAACAACAATGGATCAAGATATTTCAACAAATATTTTGATGCTTAGCTTGCTCGTTTCATTTTCGTCTTTTAATCGTGCTCGGAAAATTTTGTTCAAAAGCTCTCTTTTATTGTTCAGTCGCATGTTCCACCTAAAAGATGTTAAAAAGAGTAAGCAAATCCGCCTAAAATGAAAAACAGAACAAAACAAAAGAAACAAGCAACCCAGAAAAAATGATGGCGAGTTTCTGTTAGTATAAAAGTTTTGTAATCAAATGATGATCATGAATAGCTTTTGGGACCAGTCATGTCCCTCATTTTAAAACAACTATACGTGCCCTTAAGGTGATGAATGCGTTGGAAGAAACGCGAGAAATGTTTTAGGTGGTATAACCTACATCAAAAAATTAAGCAACGTAAGGATAAAAAGAACTTAAGACGTTAGATGACATAAAAGAACCTGTCACATTTGCAGCGTCATTAATTTAAATGAACCTCACAGACGATGAATTGTTAGTGACAAGTTGAGTAGTAAGTGATTAAATTTTACTAAATTTACTTGGCCTGATCCTGAACTTTAATGTGAATTATAGCTTTATCTCTGCACTCAAGTTTTTATGTCGTTCTCGAATAATGAAATCTTGTTTACTCCTGTCAAGCTACTATGGAGTGTTCTCGCGAATTTTCGGGCGGGCCATTAATCAATCCATGACATGTATTATTATTATTAATCTGATAGATAGATAGATAGATAGTTTTCAAAGTAAGATGTAACTTGGCGGGAATTCAACATTTACCTGTTGCGGCTTATCCTCAATATTTTCAGATTCAGCAAAAGGAAAACAGTATGTGGTGGATGTTCCGTCATTTAAGATTCGTCATTTTCGCATTTGCCATGGAGTTTGTCACAGCTAATTATCAATGTAGGACCGAAGTAAGTATACAAGGTATGGCTCTCAAGCGTTCTGTTTTCAAAAGGTGGTCAGTGGCGGCTCCTCATCTTTGTGATGTCAAATGTGGACAAGAGATTACATGCCAAAGCTATAACTACAATAGAAAATACCAAATATGTGAACTAAATAACCGCACCAAGGAGGCGAGACCAGATAATTTCCTTTCAGCACCCGCGTGGTTTTACATCCGGCGATTGAACGGCAGAGGTGAGAAATCAAAGCTTTTTCCATCTATGTGATTTCTATTTCTATAAATCTTCTCCATCCTGGAACAACTAAGAATAGGAAGTAAACGTAAAACATATCTTTATTGCAGCTCCATTAGGCTCTATCCCTGAATTACCGGCGTTGTCTTGTCACGAAATAAAGGCAAGTGAAGGCAAACACATCATAAGCGGCAAGTATTGGCTGAATCCAACTTGTAAAGGAAAGGCAAAACTGATTTACTGTGATATGGTTCACGAAGGTAGGTCTTATAAGTTTGCATGAGGTACTTTATTTTGTTACGAGTTATCAGTAACATGAGATTATTATAAAATTATACTATTATTGATACCATCACCCTAATATTTAGTTTGGATCAGTTCTATCGAGGATGTCTCTCTCAAGTTGCTCTAACTTAGTTACTGCTTCTCTTGCCACATTCTAGATATGGATGAATGTAAATATCACATCAGTAACTGCGATGTGAATGCAAACTGTACCAATGGTTCTTACAAATGCATATGTAAAGTGGGATACACCGGCGATGGACACTCATGTTCAGGTAATTTTGAAGATGACCTTATAAATATTTCCCAATAAAACCAATTTTTGTAAATATTCTCACGATTTTAAGCAGCGTTACCCATGCATGTTTAGGCACAGAGTAACCTTGGTCTACCCCTGGCTTGTTTCAGAGCATTCAGATTGATAAATTAAATTATTTGTGCTGAAAGATAATTTCGCAATATCTAATTCATGTAGCCGTAAAAGAGAAACATTTGTTTTATAATTTGTGATGATCAAAGGAATTAGACGACTATAAGTTATAAAAACGATAACATGGAAAAATGTATCGATGGTTTTTGAGATATTGACGAGTGTAAAGGAAATCACTCTTGTCACGTGAATGCTATCTGCACGAACACCAAAGGATTGTACGTTTGTACTTGTCACCCCGGATATACTGGAAATGGACACGGCTGCACAGGTATTTATGCGTTTCTTTTGTAACCATTTCCATTAGAAAGAAAAGCACTATCATCGTTTCAAGACTTGCTTTACCAGCATACCTTGTATAAAAAAAGAGATGAGTGTACTGAGGCCTGAAAACAATGTTGATAATGACACAATTGTATTAAATAAACATTCAGTGGTAAAAAAAAATATATCAACTGGCAAAGGGAGACTTGATGGATGGGCTTACAGGACAGAACAACGGATTTAAACTCGCGGGGAACCAAGAAAAAATCTAGTGAGCGCTAAAGTGAAGTGCTTGCGTCTATGACCCAAGAGAACTAGTCTAAGGTTTCTAAGCTTGTGCTCGGCAACTTCTTCCCAATTGCATTTTTTTTAATTTATTCTTTTTCTTTAATGTTTATCATTTTACAGATATTAACGAGTGTAAAGGAAATCACTCTTGTCACGTGAATGCCACATGCATGAACACCAAAGGATCGTATGTTTGTACGTGTCACCCCGGATATACTGGAAATGGAAGCGACTGCACAGGTACTTGATGCATTTCTTTTGAAACCGTTTTCCATCAGAAAGAAAAGCACTATCTGCGAGACTTTTTTTACCAGCATACCTTGTATTGACCCTTTCACTCCTAAGATCTTATTAGTAATTCTCCTTACTGTCTGCCACACAATTCTTATGATGTTAATTCTAAGAATTTGGTATTGAATCAACTGATAATCCCCAAGCTGATATTTTTCCTTATTCTTGTCACTTGTCTGTTTGATATTGTAATGATTTGGTAAGGAGAATTTCTTTCTTGGTCATTAAAGGGAGTTAGCTGGTTAAGTAAACATTCAGTGTAAGGTAAAAAAATCCACTGGTAAAGGGAGACTTGATAGATAGGAACAGATTTGAACTTGGGGGAACCGAGAAAAAAATCTGGTCTGAACACCCTTGGATCACATGTATGTCAATGTCATGCTGGGTATACTGGAAATGGACAAAACTGCACAGGTAAATTTAATTTCTTCGTTACAACGAAACGAAAGGAAACCTTTAGGAGGCAGAGAGAAATTACACACTCTCAAAACCTGGGTGATGCCAATATTAAGAGTAGTTACGCTACACCGTAATTTGGTCCAGTGTTTTGTGACGACCTATCCCCCAAGGGATGGTACGTTTTGTGGGAGCAGCAGGAACAAGCCAGTTGTTTCAGAGCCGATAGCTTGATAAACTGAAATACTCGTGATAAAATATACGTTTCAAATATCTAATTCGTGGAACACAAAAAGAGAAAAAATTGTTTTGTTATGTATGATTATCAAAGTAATCACTCGACTGAGAGTCCGCTCATTTTTAAAGTGACAAACATGATGAAGTGCAAATATATATATGGTTTCTCAGATATTGACGAATGTAAAGGAAATCACTCTTGTAACGTGAATGCTGCCTGCACGAACACCAACGGATCCTATCTTTGTGAATGCCACCCTGGATTTAATGGAAATAGTCAAAACTGCACAGGTGAATTTAATATCTTTGCTATAATATTTAGAATATTCCTGCTCGAATCTAATGAACCTGAAGCTGCTGAGGTGGCCATATTATTAGTTTTTCATATGTAAATGATACCGGCTGTGCCCTAAGTCTGCCTTGAGCTGTCCTTTAATGCGTTGTCTGAAAAAGGAGCTCAAATTCGGATCCTGATGAGTTTATCTGGATCTCCAATATCACTGTTTTAGTCTCAAAGCCTTAAAGTATTTAAAGACATGAGAGTTACAATGTTTAATTCTTTTTCGCCTAAAAGCACTGTAGGTACATTTAAGCAATTGCTATCTACAATCGAGTGAGTGAATAACAGACCAATAATAGCTTGCATGCTATATCTGTTTATCTCTATATCTGCTACATCCAGGAGGCGTAATTTTACGCTCCCTTGTGCACAAAAACGAAACAACTTTTGATTATACATGACTATAAATATATGAAAATCATACATGTGCACTGCGGTTGAAGAAATGAATATAGAGGCAATCCTCGCAGTTATGAATACCACTGAACTAGTGGTGAAAATAAGGCCTGAAAAAAATTCAGGTCCGTACGGGATTTCAACCCATGACCTTTACGATACCGGTGCAACGCTCTACCAACTGAGCTAACAGGCTAACTGGGAGCTGCTAGTTACAAATAAACCATCTAATTGGTGAATACATTAATGTAAACATATGAAAATCATACATGTGCACTGCTACTGCCAGTATAGTAGTGTTCAAAACTGCGAGGATCGCTTCAATGTTTGTAACTTTTGGTTATGTTTTTAAAACCTTACACGAACTTTTATATGATGCTGACATCACACACTACGTGGAACTAAAAAACTGTTAAGAAACTCTAACCTTAAAAGATTCCCCTATAATAACAGTTATGATCAATCAAACTCATTTGACTTTTGCAAGCCAATTTGCGCTATGGTTATAAATAGCTAGATGATGCCAATAGGCAGAGTTCTTACACAGTCATGGGAAATAATTGTGTTATTACCAAATACCTCTGGGCTGGTATCGTTGTGTGGGAGGTGAGGATCAAAAATGTCGCATTTGGTAGCATTCAGTTGAGGTACAAACAACTACAGGCTTTGATGGTCGATTAAAGTAAGAGGAAACATAATTCTTTACAATACCATCATTTCATTTTAGTTGTGCATCATTATTGTCCAACGCAAGATTCTCTTTAAAATTAATTTAATGCATAGTTGTTCTTGTAACACGCAAGTCCTATCCGATTATTATCGAACTGATTGACTTGAAAAATGTCAAAAACAGAAAAATGATATCATTAGTACTGCAAAATTTTGTAATATTTATTTATTTTAATAGCCGACCCATGTTATTATCATCAAAACCTGAGTGATGCCGATAGAAAGAACAGTTACGCTACACCGGGATTTGACATGTACTACTTAGCCCCTTAATTAATGTAAAGTCACTTGTCTTCTTAAGTACAAGTTTCACCACTGATTGACAAGCTGCTAGAATTATAGGACGTTAGAAAAGATCTTGAACCATTGATGTTAATAACCTAAGTCCTGTGCAATTATTTCACTTTGTAGCCGATCCTTGCTATCATTATAAAAACCTGAGTGAAGCCAGTAGAAAGATAAGTTACAGTACACCTGTCGGTTCAGAGTTGTGTGACAACCAACTCCCTAAGGAATGGTATCGTTTTGTGGGAGCTGCAGGAACAAAAATGCCAACAACACGTGTGCCAGCATACAAATGTGGTACAGACTGGTCAGGCTGGTTGATGACTGCTCATCCTAAAGTGGAAGATGGTGAGGTTCAAAGGACGGTCTGCTTTAGTGATCGCGCTACTGGTTGCAAATACTCAACAAATATTTTTGTAAAAAACTGTGGATCCAACTTCATCTACGAACTTAAAAACCTACCTACTTGTAACTTACGCTACTGTGGTACAGACTGAATGTAAAGCAAATGTACTTTGCGTAGTAAGAGGACTCATAAATCGCTCCGTAGGTACATGTGTACAAGGTTTTGACATGCGACGTATTCAAATTTTCTTCTCTATCGTCAACATTATCAGCAGATTTTAACTTTGGTGGCAAACAAGTATTTATTTCATTAGAATGATAATTCTCATCGGATAGCCTTTGTCATTGAAGAGAGAATTGCCCAAAGGATCTTTAAAGTAATCTTCAAGTAAAATCTGCAAGACACAAACTCTCAAGCTTATGGCTTTCGAGCCTTTATGTTTTTTTTTTTCGTTTTTTCATCCTTCTATTGCTGTAATTATAAACCATGATTATTTTAGTGTTGGTCAGTGGAATATAAACAGGCGCTATCTTTCGCTATAGGCGTAGAATTAAAAGTGATGACAGTCAAAATCCGATGTCCTATGAAATTACGTAAAGTTAACGTAATAATAGTAACTCAGTATTTTGAAACGTTGAACCAATTTCCAGACACAGTAAGCAAAATTTAATGGTTTAGCCTGCGTAACCGTGTGTTAAATGTGTCCGAATCGACCAGAATTCATTTGAAATTATTGGATCGCTTACATCTCACGCTTATTTTGAATCCAAGTTAAAGATCTTTACGCAATGGCTTCAAAGTGTCCCTATACAGCTTATTTAACTAAGCGCACGGGCACTTCATTCATTCCTGACGAAATTTGTTTAAATAATTTTATACAGGTAATCACGTGTTTCCAGTGTAATTTGGGATAAAACAGAACGAGAAAATTTTCAACGACCAACAAAATTGCATGAAGCCGTAGGGCGAGTGCAACTTATGCTTGTATTATTAAGTTTAAAAGCTGCATGTAGCTTTTAAAAGTTGACCTGTTTTACAACGGTTAATGTTTGCCCATCACACTTACACGCTAAAAGAAAGGTATTCAGAACTGCGATGTGTTAAAAACAAGTATTTAGAGTAGCTTAGGTAAACAAAAGTTGTAAATGACTTTTTACGCCGTTTAAGTACTTCACCAAAAATATTTTACAGGAATGTTAGATTTGAAATCAAAATCATAATTTCTCACTGTGAAGTTTTCCTTTTTCATAATGCAAACATATTCAAAGAATCCTACGAAAAATAATAAGCGTAGAAAAGAAACCCACCCCCACCATAACCCCCAAAGGCTACTGCCTGATATTTCAATATTCTAGCTGAGATTAGTCTTCCAATCATTTGATGTTCAAGTGTCTCTTGTTTACAAGAAAAGACCTGAACACAAAGCAAATGAGGCAAAGCAATGCGAGTTTATTAACAACGAATCAAAATATAGAAAAATCGTCGGTGGACTTTTTAAAGCAAAGTGATATGAGCTAGGTCAATTGTGGCTCAGATTCTTAAGTGGTGTAAATAGAAGGACATCGTGTATGTTATCTCATTATCTCACAAAAACTGTGTATCTCTTTGTAAATACATTTACCTTACACGGACTATTCTCAGCTGAGTTTCATAACACGAACACGACAGTAAACGTTGAGGGCAGTGTAGTCCACGGGTCGGAGTAGGTTCTCGATACCACTCATCTGATGAAAGATTGTGTGAAAGACTCTTCAAATTCACGTGATAGCAATTGCGAAAGAGTAGCTTTCACCATTTTTTATTGGAGTTGGTGTCAATAACCAGTTGAAAATAATAACCACAACAAGGAAATGATGCAGTGAAGTAAAAACAGAGCCATAAATCAAAACTGGGTTTAACTTTACATCGCAATGATTCAGTAACAAATGGAGAAAGTTATTGAAAAAGATTTTAACGTAAGGAATAGATAAAGGAAAATAAGTTAATTTTTAACTTAATATTGAACATTTTTCTTGATTAATTAGTAGTTTTCACAAGCATTGTTTGAATTATGAAGTTAATAGTAATAAAAAAGAAACTTGCAAAAAGGCATCTCTTGTACTTCATTCCCTTGTTAGTGATACGAGAATGTACATAAATTTGATACCCGCAAGAGACAAGTGGGGGGGGGAGGGTTCTTCATAAAAGAACAATGGGAAAAATCATTGTTATCCTTAGGACCTGAGAAT